TTATTGGTTTATTCATTCTTCAATTTCGGGTATCTCGGGCAAGTCCAAAACCTTTGGCCAACTTTTTATTATATTTTCGTAATTACAATCTATATGTATCACCTTGCATTAAATTATACTTTCCGCAAATAAAATGAATATGCAGATGGATTTAATTGACTGGTGGAGAAGCCGATCATATTATGGGTGCTTTCTGAACTTGTCATTGTTGTGGGGGTTCAGTTGCATATATTTATCTGACTGATAAATATATGCAAAATAAAGAACTAGAGCTAATCCTCTCCTTGGTGTTTGGGGGCGCAGGCGAGGTGACGCTGCGTGAGCCTGGTGTTTAAACGCCGGGAATGTCGCGACCGAGAAAATTGCATTTTCCCGAACGCTAGTGTATTAATCCCCGTCCCAGGAAAAGCCGGGGTACACCATACAAACATGATATAAAAGACACATCTTTATTATATCAATAATATTTACATTATTACAAAGGCACTTCAGTCCTGACAATCAAAAATAAACAGCAGTGGACTAGCGGGCCTACGGCTCCATCTTCACAGGCGCTCAACTGGGGTATAAGCCAGGACTCCACCTAAGACATCTTCTCCAAAGCTTCTCTTACTGAAGGGGAAGAAAGATAGAGCAAGAATGAGTACAACCACAGTACTCAGCGAGTCACACCGGCAGATGCATGATTAATGCAAGGGGGTACAAGGGGATAATAATAGGGGTTAAGTTTTGCAGTAAACAGCATTTAAGAGTCACTTAGTTGCCCAAAGCTATTTTGTAAAGACGATCCTAGAGCTACACAGTATTATTAATCAAGGCCGTGAACCCACACGAACCTGCCTTAACCCAAGGCCTACGATGATTCAGACCGAACTGGCAACCCGACCCTGGGTCCCAGCTCGTCCCAAGCCAACCCAGGCCAACCATTCCACATTTTAGTTGTTAAGCAAATTTTAAGAATTAAAACACTGACTTGGGTACATTGCTCGGCTTGCCCATAACCGAGGGCGCGGCTATTCGAATAGATTATACTCTGATCAGAGGTGTACATCTTTACCCACAAGACACATCTTCCTCACGTGTAACCACGTGCCACATACCACCACGGTATACGGACGGAAGACGTGACATAGTTCCCAACCCATCCTAGCCATAAACAAGAGTACCGACCCAATCCCACCTACGGCCGGAACCTCCGGGACAGGTAGGCAGGAATGAGCCCCCAGCAGCAGGACACCAGCCCTGTGCCATGACATCTCGACTACCGGGCCGCAGCTCGTGTAGCCTTCATTTGTCCTAGAGATGTCCATCGACCCCCGACTTCGTCCATCTCCATCCGTGTACTTTTGTTTATAACCAGACTGAGCCACAAACTAAGCCTTACCCACTAGACATGTGGAAGTACGGTAGTGCTTTGCAACAGAGGCCCGAGCTTAATCCTTATAGTGGCCGGGGTGCTACTTCCCACAACTGGCATGCACCCAAACCCCACCGGAAAACAGGTTTTAGGGGTTTTGAAAGAGGAAGAGAGGTGTATGTCCAATTCCACCATAAGCCAACCATTCCATAGTGTCCAAATGATATGAGAATTCCCAAAGTCTAAAGTTATAAAAACCACCTAATGTTGTCCTATTTAATCAGCGAAGCATCTACCTAAATTCATACTAGTGGAACCATGAATAGAGTACCCACTAGTTGGGGTTTTGTTTATTCTAGGGTGAACAAGGTAATAGTAACAATAGCAATAATAATGTCTTAACAACGATAAATAGGCATGGCTAAATAAAACAGTGATAACGCGGGAATTTAAATAAAGCGGTAATGCATTAATTTAAATCAAAATAATTTTATAAACTGGGATTCAATATGCTCAAGGATGATGTGACTTGCCTTGCTCGCTTTCCCAAACGCCGGCTTCAACTTCCACGAAGAGCGGATCTTCCGAAGCTGCAGCGTCTACACGACCAACGGAAAAGAAAAGGCTTTTACTCTACTAAACTCCACATAACAAGCAGAAACAAAGCACAAAAATGGGTTCTTGACTTCTTAAGGAAAAATTAGAGACTTGAACGGTCCAATTCCGAGTTCAAATGGCCAAGTTATGGCCATTTGAAGTTTATATGCTCTTTAAATGGATATTTACGAATTTCTTCATTTAAATTTTAATTTAAAAACGGATTTATTGCGTCAGTCGAGGGGAGGGACGCACGGACCGGGTCCACGGGAGTGGGGCCCACGCGGCAACCTCACGGTCCACGGTGGACCGGGTGCACGCGGCTTACGCCGGCCGGCGCCGTGGGTCCCACGCGTCAGCCGCACCCGAGGGCGCGGGCGGCTGACGGCCGGGCCCCACATGGCAGCCGCGGGGCGCGCCCGAAGGCGGCCTCGCCGGCACGGCCGACGGGGAGGCGGCGCGCCCGCACCCCGATGGTCGCCGGCGGCGGCCACCGGCGCGGCGGAGCGGCGCCCGAGAGAGGGGAGGGAAGGGGGAAACGAAACGGCGGTCCACGGCTCACCCCGGGTCGACGACGACGACGGGAACGGCGACCGAAGCGGAGAGAGGCGGCGGCGCGGCTCGGGTCGACGAGGATGGCGGCGTTCCGGCGGTCGGCGGGCGAAACGGAGGAGTGGACGAGGTCGACGAGGACGCGGCGAAGCCGAAGGAGGCAACGCCGAAGCGGGAGGAGGTCCGAGGCGACGACGGCGGCGGACCGGAGCTCGGCGGCGACGGCGGAGAGAGGGAACGACGGCGCGAGCTCGATTCCGACGGGGAGAGAGAGCGGCGAGTGGCGGAAACGGTGGAGGGAGGCACGGGGAATGTTTAAATAGGGTTGGGAGTGAGAGAGGGCGGCCGGAGGGGAAGGAAACCGGCGCGGCGATCTCGGGCTCCATCAATGGCGCCGGCGAGGTTTGCGGGAGGGTTTCCAAACGAATCCGAGGGAGAGAGAGAGAAAAGTGGGGGGGGGGAAAGAGGGAGGGAATCACGGGGAATATTTCCCCCCACTTTATTGCGCGCGTGGACGGCGGGAGGCGGCGGGATTCGCGGCGGCGGCGGCGCTAGGGCACGGGCGAGGCGGCGGGAGCGGCGGGAGGACAGGGATGACAGGTGGGCCCCACCCGTCAGCGAGGGTGGCGGGCGGGCCCGCCCGTCAGCGGCGCGCGCGCGGGGAGAGGCCGAGTGGGCCGCGGGGAGGAGGAGAGAGAGGGAAGGAGATGGGCCGAGCCGGCCCAAGAGGGGGAAGGGGGAAAAAGACTTTTTAGGGTTTTTCTTTTTATAAAATCATTTTAACTTTGTTTATTTCTTAATAATTATTATTTGTGCTCTGAAAATTCCACTAAAATTTGAAGGCTCTTTTTAGACCAAGGAGAATTTAACAAAAATTCTCCGGGCCACATTTGAATTTTTCTTGTACGTATTTTAGTGTTTGCCAATTTCTTTTCGAATTTTAATTAATTCTATTATTCCTTTTAGAGAATGATTTTTAATTCGGGATGAATTTATCAGGACGTGACAGGGAAGGGGGAAGGGAGACCCTGCAGGTGGGGCCCACCGCCTGGTCCACGCAATGTGTTTCCTCGGTTCCACCGCCCGCCTCATGGGAACAGCACAGAGCCCACACTTGCCTGGTAGGTAGGGGTGGGCATATTTAGACCGAACCGAAGAACCGAACCGAAAAGACCGAGACCGAGACCGAAAAGACTGAGACCGAGAAATTCGGTTATCTATTCGGTCCCAGCCCTCAAAAGACTGAATTTATTTCGGTCATTTCGGTTATTGGGCTCGGTTAACCGAATTAACCGAAATGACCGAAATTTTGGCCCAATAGACCTAGGAAGCCCAATAAACCCACTAAAACAAACCCTAGAAGTGATACTAACCCTACTACCAGTGCAACCTCCTCCTCTAGCCCCCACCATGCCACCGTCTCCTCCTCCAGCCTCCACCGCGCCGCCGCCGCTGGCTCTGCCCTCCACCGCGCCGCCGCCCGCCTCCGCCCTCCACCGCGCCGCCGCCGCCGCCGTCCTCCACCGCGCCACGGCCGACGCCGCCGTCCTCCACCACGCGGCGGCTGGCACCGTCCTCCACCGCGCCGCGGCCGCCGCTGCCGCCCTCCACCGAGCGTTCCAAATTTTTTCGTTCCAAACTCTCCTCAAAAATTTCGGTCAGACCGAGACCAAGACCGAATTTGCCGGTTCTGAGTTTTTTTGGATGAAATTCGGTCCTGAGTTTGCGAAGACCGAACTGACCGAAAAACCGAAGACCGAGACCGAGTTTTTCGGTCTGACCGAACGCCCACCCCTACTGGCAGGAACCAGTTGTAGGTGGGCCCACCTGTCAGTGGGCATCGGGCGCTGACCGGGCGGGGCCACGGCGCGGTACGGAGGAGAAAAAATCGCGCCGGCGGAGAGGAATATGCCACGGGACGGAGGAGACGGAGAGGAACGTGGGGAGTTGGAAGTTGGCGAGGGAGGCTAGCTGTGGGTGGACGGAGGCAGCGATGGATCGGCGTCATCAATGGCGGCCACCCAGCCCAGCCCAGCAGGCGACAACGATGTGTTTTGCCATGAGAGCTGCGTGCCTCACGTGTACCTTGTCGCCCATGTGTGATGTATCTATCTCATTCTCATCGCCTGAACTACTACTAGTGTACTACTAGCAGCAGCCAGCAGCAGTAGATGTTTTTGGCTGCCAAGTCGTGCAGACTGAAATGGCCTCTGCTTCACGCTGCCGGCCACTATAATTTGGATCGTAGTTTGGCGACATGATTAACAAGGAGAAAGCCGAGCTTCTCAGGCCCATGCAAACATGCTGAAACCTGGCAATATCTGTAATGGCGGCGGTCCAAAATTCAACAAACCGCACCTCCACCAACGACGCGCACAAGTCAGAATGCAGTATTACCACATGCGGGAGAAGGAATACATATGGCGTCGCACCGTCTTGCAGTGCTGGCAGAAACAACTGGAAATGCTAGGTCAGACCCAAATGCCAACATGACTGACAACACAAGTGAAGTAGTAGTAGTAAAAAACCGAGGGTGATGTTATATAAGACAATCAACTTGTTTCAGACTCGTTATTCTGATGTATACTACTAGGTCAAAAACCTTGTCCTCCCGCGATTACAAGAGAATAACCCACAAAACCAAAGGTGTGATCTCTCCTAGGGGGTTGGGTACTTGTGTGGGGAAAAGGAAAAGGACAGGGCAACGGCACTTGTTCATGTTACAGATTTTCAGTGTTCCCATTCAACAAATATGCTTCATTTCAGCTCTATCGAGTATCGACTGGAAAGAGAAGATGCTCACCACCACAAATATAACACTCGTGTTTCAAGAAGTGACTCCGCAAGGAAGAAGTGCAGCCGCAACTGGCCTTCCCTCTTCATTCAGAATGTTATATGTTGAAGCCGCATTCCTCTGCCATACAACGGAAGGATTAAACATGTGCAAAGACTAAACATTGCAGGTAGTGAATAAACTACAAATATCTGCTACATTGAAGTTTACAACAGAAGTGATGATGTTGATAAGGAGCATTTGGTCTTTTACCGAATCAACTGCTTCCAGTTTCATTCCAGTTGACTGAATGAATTTGTGGAGCTCAGGACTGATCGGTTGGATGTGTCTACCACAACCAAGAATCAGAATCTCTGGAGAAGCATGGCACACGAGATGATGTCAACCCACAAACAGTGTTTTTGATTTAGAAATACAAAAAACTATTCAACCATGAGGGTGCGATATCCTGGAACACATCTTGAGCCCCAGTAGGAGAAAGATGCTTGGACAATTAAACTATTCAGTTAATTCCATGATAGGTTTGCATTGACTGTATTCTACTCTGAAATTCTCAAAAATAGTTGTGCACCAATACAATGCACAGCTTTGTAGATTGATAAACAGCCAACTCCTGTTTTAGCTTCCTAATGAAGCTTTGTAGATTGATCATTAAAAGATAAAATGCCTAAAAATGTTGACCAATAGCAGAATTACCTGGGATAGGATTGATAAACTGTATTATTGAATAAAGATGCATTGTTAGTCAAATAGAAAATAAATGGGAAGCAATGCAAATTCAACACTTCCAGAAACCTGATTCAAGCATGAATCCTACCTTTCAGCTGTTATCTCTGCAAATGTTTTGGGTGCCCATGTCATTATCTTGTTTTTGACTATCAACAAGCTTCATTCATACTTTACTTTGTTAATATTGAATCCAGTGTCATCATATCTGCAGATAGAAGAACAGACTTGAGCCACCTGATAAATATATAAGTTCAACTAGAGGGGATGGATCAAAGTTGGAGAGCGTATTGAAATTTTCTGAAGAAAAAAAATGGCATTGACAATGTCACATCATAACTTTAACTGTAAGCCTCCAAGACATGCCAAAACCTATGCATGTCAAAAGTTACTAGTTGTGTCATGCGGGTTACAATTGCAGAGTGCAGACTAAATATCAATCAGATTGAAGAGACAATAACACAAGGGTAAGGAAATTCACTGGAGAACACTAGAATTCAGTACATTTTGTCCTATCCAAAGCTCATGGCAGTAGTCCGAATTGATTGTCTTCAGAAAAACAGTTTAAGCCCTCTTGGTTTCTTATTCCGGTCAAATATTTGACATTTAGGACAAGATTTGGACAAACTTTTAGAACTTTGACCATCAATTCTATGTTAGAATAAGTTTATAAACCTAATAAGTTTATGATATTATTATAATACTTTTCAAGACAAACTTAAGCATATCATTTTTTTGTGTTTTTAAACTAAGAATCTGAGAAGTAATTGATGGTCAAGGCTTCAAAAGTTTGACCAAATCTTGCCCTAAACGTCAAATATTTATGACTGGAGGGAGTATACAATGTTTAGCTCAGATACACAGATTAAAAAGGAAACAGACCAAACTGAAGCAAACACAGGCAATGCGAGCTGAATTTATTTGGAGATCTCTTAGGTTTGTGGTGCCTAAAGTCCTAAACATTGACGACAACAAAACTAGCAAGATCACTGGAGTACTGGACAACATGAGAATTCAGTACATTTTGTCCTATCCATTGCTGATGGCAGTGGTGCAAATTGATTGCCTTTGGACAAACGGTCTAAGTCCTCTTGGTTTATTATTAAAATTAAGGAACAGTTCATTACATGGTTTAGCTCAGATACACAGATGGACCAAATATTGAAACATCAGCATGACAACCTTCACTCATCTGCACGTAACAGTACGCACTACACAGACAATGCAAACTGGGTTTGTTTGCAGATTTAGAGTCTGTGGTGCATAAACGTTGACAGCCATATTGTTTCATCAACTGTATAATCTCCCACAAATCCATATCACATCCGATATTGTTTTCCTCACAACTGAATCTCCAAGATTTATCTCATTCTCCAAACACCCATTCATGTACTTCTAAACAGATAAAGGACCACCCAAAATAAGAAGATTGTTTTTAGAGAGGGTCAAGGTACCAACCTAATTAACAAGGGTTTACAATCTACCCTACTGCAGTAGTTCCACTTCTAACCTAAACTTCTCGATCCAACATATATCACAGAAAAGATAGGTTCACTTTAAAATAGTCATTCTCCAGGATGTAGCTGTGAAAGCACTAGTTTGACTCCATTTCTATGAACAGCTAGAATTTACTCCCTGAGCAGTCATATCTTACTTTTGACAAAAACTGATCAGTTTGGGGGTGGGTAATCTACAAGTGACCAGTTGGAAGCCGAGTGGTCTTAGCTGATCTGCTCTTCGGGAACCCTCATGCGAATTCTGCAAAAAGGATGGAAGAGGCTAGTAAACCTCTATACTTGTGACCAAGCTTTGCATCTTGCCCTTAGATAATGGAAACTATTTTGAGTCAACAAATCAAGCCTAAGCGTCTAACTTTTCTACGGAGTACCATCCATCCATCCATCCATAAAAACAAGAGCCTAATCTGCACCAATATCATCCGCATTTCACACATTCATGTCCGACAGCTAGAACAACGATGTGAATTAACGAAGAAGGCTATCCATGCAAGGTGTGAAGCAAAAAAAAAAAAAAGGATGGACGAAGGAGGGCATTACGATTGGAAGCGGAGCTGGTCTTCGGGGACGCTGTCGATGAGGTTGATCTGATCGTAGAGAGAGAAGGTCCTCCTGCACAGATTTCATCAGAAACCCAATCAACGGAAACATTCACATCAACTAAACTAGCCCTCCTCCGGTTGCGCAGGAGGCCGATGCGCCCGCGGGTTACCTGAGGGACGGGAGGTGCCGGAGCCTCGGGGCGTTGGAGACGGGCTCGCTGCGCAGCGATTTCACCAGATGCGGCAGCGCCGCCACCGCCTTCTGCCCCCGCGCCGCCATCTTCTCTCGGCTCTCGCCGTCGCCGCCTCCAAGCGAAATGGGGAGCGAGAGCGATTAGAGACAGAAAACCCCTCCTCGAATCCTCGAAATTGCAGATGAGTCCCTAACCCAGCCCACCCGAGCAAAAACGGATAGGAATGTGGGCCGAAATGCATGTTAGCCCACAGACAAATCGAAGCCCAAGGTGGAATGTTGCGTGGGCCAGCCCATCTAGGGCGGCGGCTAGCTAGTCCGACTCCGATTGTGTAAAGAACAGAGCTACTCCGAGTCGGATACGCATGCAGTGCTGGGGCCTATAAATCGAATGAAGCCGCATGATCCACACCCGCCTACTCAGATCGATCCACAAGCTGCGTGCGTCGATCATGGCGGACGACATGCCGGTGGCCGTCGACGATGACCTCCAGGAGCTCATCGACGAGCTGATGAATGCCGGCCCGGAGGACGAGGCCGACGACCGAGAGGTTGAGGAAATCTCGGCGACAGCGCTGTCTGAAGCCACCGAGTACCTTGAGGACCCCGACCCTCCCTCGCCGGAGCAGGTGGGATGGGCGGAAGGTGCAGTGATCTCCGCCCAGTCGGCGGCGGATAACATGGCGTCCTATGCGCTGGATCTCAGGAGGGCTCTGGCCGTGTTCGCCGGGACAGGGAGGCCTGAGGAGGCGGTGCTCAGGAAGAACGTCGCGTGGGCCGACGCGCGCCGTGCGGAGGCCGTGGAGATCGCCTCCGCCGCGCGGCGCTTGCTGGAGAAGGAGCTCAGGTGCATGGCGGCGAGAGACCACCCCGTCATTCCGGAGCTTGCGGCGCTGATCACCGCCATGCGCGACTCCACCAAATCGCTGGTCCTGCAGGACTCCGGCGGTGATGCTGTCCGTAGCCGTAAGGTCGGGTTGTTGGACAGCGCGATCAAGTTCGAGGACGCCGTGGTGGGGAAGATGACCGCGTTGAAGGAGAAGCTCACGCGTGGCGCCGCCGCCTTCGCGGGGGAGGAGGAGATCGTGCAGGCGCTGAACAAGCACGCCGCGACGGCCGAGGCGGAGATTGCGGAATCACAAGCGTTCTCTGCGGTCTTGTTAGCCGATGCCAACCGAGCAGCAATTCCCGTCGTTGTCGTGCAAAAGAGGCCGGCGCCGGAGACGGAGACGGAGACGGAGGAGGAGCCGCCACGACAGAGGCGACGCACAGGAGACGCCGGAGACAGTGCCGCACAAGACTAGCTATAGCTAGATTAGCAAACTCTGTGTTTCCTGTCTCGTGCCGATCGATCAGCTGTTGATCTACATCTTGTAAATCTAATTAGTCCATGATCGATCTGATTTTGTTAATCTACATGTAATATCAGACCAATATACAGGTTGTGTCGTATGCATATACTAGCTAGTCATACTCCGTTTTTCCCTATACTAGTGCAGGGATGTATCGCACTGGTATAGGTAGAATCCTTGAGAAGAGTAACGCGGACGAACGAAGACGATCGATCGAACAGAGCAAAAATTCAGGCACCCCTGTAAAAAGCTACTACCACTAGTCAGATATGAAAAAAATATCGGGGGCACCGATAAACGGGATTATCAGAAATATCAGAATTTTGCCGGTGATAAGAAAAAAATTTCGCACAAAACTTGTTAAAATTTGGCTTAATTTGTGCAGGAAATCGAGTAGATTATATCTAGATCATTTGAAATAAAAAATAATATATATAATATGCAAATGACCAAGATAAGTGCAAAGAATCATGTAGGCAGTCAAAGATTATAGTGTCACGCATGCAAATTCAAAAAAGGCCGAAATTTTTGTCCGATACTGTTTTTCATCGTATCCACCGATCAACCCGATTTTCGGAATTTTTGGTCCATGTTTTGGCAATAATGTGAACCTAGTATCAGCTGCCTGACCATTGTAGAAGGGAGTAGATGGCCATAAGGCCCGAGGCCCGAGGCCCGATGGCCCGACCCACGGCCCGGTCGGGCCGTGCCTGGGCTTCCCCATTGGCACGCTGGGCCGGGCCGGTACACAAAGAATAGGGAATAAAAATAGACATACTAAATGTCACGATCCAAAGAATAGGGACGTAAAATAGACTTATTTTAGTTATATATATGTCACAGTCCAAAGAGGAGGGTGAGAAAATAGACATTTTTATCATATATATGTCACAGCCCAAGATGAAGAGGAAAAATAGACTTATTCTGTGGAAAAGCACGATGGGCCGTCGTGCCTTCGGGCCGGAACGGCACAACCCAAGTCGTGTTGGGCCGTGTGTGCGGCCCGTGGGCTGGCACGGCACGGCCGGGCCTGGGCCGTGCTGCCCATTTGGCCATCTATATACCTACATATATGTCGACATATTTGTAAGGAAAAATTACTTGATATTTCATTTCATAGATGAATGGTAGTAATTCATCTAAGTTGTCTCTCAACAATGAGAATTAGAATCTAAATATTTCTCAAATATTTGACTTAGAATACTACTATTACTTTGTGGATATAGAAACCGGAGAAGGAGAAGAAGCTAGCTCATGTGCTTGGCGGCTAGAGACCACCCCGTCAATCCGGAGGTTGCGGAGCTGATCATGCGCGAGGTCACCGTCAATCCTATCGGATTTGGTGAGAAATTCGTGTCTTCTTGAGTGTTTGAGTGAGATAAAAGTTAGGTTGCTAATAATCTAGTATCAGATCCTTGTTGGAACTTTTTATTCTCTCCATCGCTCTCTTGATCTACGGTAAAACTCATGGAAGAGGTAGGAATTGTTGCTTCGGTGATGGATTCCACAAAAGCTTCGGCTCCCTCGACCGGGTTCACGAGATTCAAAGCACGATTTCAACCACAACATACTAAGCCCCGATACGTGACCAAGCAGAGGGCCAAGATCATGGACCAGGACAGCAAGATGGAGGCGTCCGATAAGAAGCAGGAAGAGAGCGAGAAGTGGAGGGAGCAATCAGAAGAGAAGAGTAGGGCAGAGTTCCTGACTCTCCAGGTGAAAGTAGAATCAAGGATTTGTGAGGTGGAGAAGCATGATGATCTCATGCAGGATTTGGTGGAAGAATTGCAAGAGAAAGTGGGAAGTTGCTAACCGTGGTTCAGAATTCATCTCATGAGACTCTTCCTGCGCATGCACGAGTCCTATACAACAAATTTACTACAATAAAAAAATGCTACTTATACAATTTTAGTAGTTAGAAAATAAATATTATTCTTTTGATTTATATTTAAAACTAAATTTTGTTATAAACAATATCTTGTGTAACAAACTCATAAATATAATAGTCTCATAATTATTATTCAATAATCAATCAGAATTTTCGTTTTAGATTTATTTTGTTGGTCTCGTGTCGATCAACTGTTTGATCTAGATATGGTAGATCGATCAATCGAGGTAATTATTCGATTCGATTATTAATGGGACCACCTATATATTTATCGACGCATTTTGTCAGGGTTATGGATACCACATACCTAATAGTAGTTGACTAAATCTCGGCAGGACCCACCACATACCATGTCCTATACGGAAACAGCCTGCAGATATAGGAGGAGTTCTGGATAAGGAAAGACAACCAGAGTTCTACATGGAAATGACAAGTACTACTCGGATTGTATCCATATTGGTTTCCCTAGTTCTACTTGGACAAGGGGACACCTATGGGTATAAATACAAGGCCCCCTAGGAGGAGAGGGGACACAATCAATATACACGGAACAATAGATCAAGACAGAAGATCAACATACAAGCCAACGTACACCAAGACAAGCCGCCGGATATCGACATCAGATATACGCCTGGATCGACCCTATCTGGGACCTACAGAGGCTGGCCGTAGGGATCTAGCGATGTCTTTGATCTCGCCGGGCACGGATTCGAGGAAACATACACGGAACAATAGATCAAGACAGAAGATCAACATACAAGCCAACGTACGCCAAGACAAGCCGCCGGATATCGACATCAGAGATACGCCTGGATCGACCCTATCCGGGACCTACAGAGGCCGGCCGTAGGGATCTAGCGATGTCTCTGATCTCGCCGGGCACGGATTCGAGGACTAGATCAGAGACATCGTTCTTTTTCTCTCGGTTTTCTCCTAGATCGATTTTCTCCTATCTCACATCGCTCTCTTTCTCTCGGTTGTCTTGGATTCGTAGCATCTTTCCCACCAAGTCGCGATTCCCAGCCTTTCGCACAAAAACCACTATTTTCTTGGCCCAATCGGCAATCTCGACCCCACTGATTTCATCATTGGTGAAACCAACCGGATCCCCTTTAGGCTAGCCAACCCTAACCTAGGTCACTGGAAGAATACCTTCAAGTCTTGGCCATCTCTCGAAAAACCCACACCTGATAAGAGCTAGACCACTTGGTACCAACGTGTATCGGCTAGTAAGAAAGTTCACTGGGATGAGATTGGAATCGGCCAAGCACTTGCTCTCACCATAGCCAATTCTGCTAAGGATGAACCTCTGATGACTGCCGCCACCTACTTCTGGTCGAATACCATCAATGCTTTCTTATTCAACCAAGGGCCGATGACTCCAACTTTAATCGACATCACCATGATTACTGGATTAGATGTGACTTCATCGGCTAACCCTATGAGTATGAACACCAAGAACCAATTTGACTTCAAGACCAAAAGCATAGGCGGCTGGTCTGGCTATGTGGCGGCATATATGGGCCAAGGATCTGTCACCCCTCGAGAGCATGTAGCTTTCTTGCTCATGTGGCTGGAAAAGTTCCTCCTCTGTGGATCCAGCTGTGGCCCTACAACCAACTGGCAGTTTGTAGCCGAAGCCTTAGAATCAAAGAAAGAATTCCCTTTGGGCAAAATCCTTCTCGGCTATCTATATCAAATGTTGAACAATGCATCGGCTAAAATAGTCGTCGGCTCAGTAGTTGGAGCAGGTGGACCATGGTGGCTACTGCAAACTTGGTTAAACCTGATAGTCATGAAGGTTGTCAATCGGCCCTTTGTAACAGAAGCTGAATTCCCACTGCCAGAGCCGATTGTGGAAGATGGCGGAGAAGAGCGCACCCATCGCAGATGCATGTCATATGGAGAATATGCATCCACACCAACC